CAGGTCATCACTTTCAAGTCGTCAAGTTTCAAGACGACATTCTTTGCTATCCCTCATGACATCAAGTTGATGCATGAAGACTTGAGAAACATCTTCTAGGTTATCACTTTCAGGTCGTCAAGCAAGGTTTTTGGAACTGAACCGGTCATTGAACCATTTTCAGGTCAGACTCTCGATTTAATCGATTCAACCAGTTGAACCGATGAACCGACCGGTCCAAACAACAAGGGAGATCTGCAGGCTACAAGCGGGCAGCTCCACTTCCAATGCTCAACACTTCAAGTCTTCAACATTATTTTTTGCTATTTTGACCATTTTTCACAACTTTTTAACATAAATATATTATATTTTATACCTTAAAAACTCATCAAATAATCTCAATGCAAACTTACTACAATGTACATCAAATAAATCATTAATAAATAACAACTCTACAAAATGAAAACTTAAAAAGTATACAAGGGACTTTTCCTTGAATTAATATGTGATGATCAATGTCTATTATTTTTCCTTTTCCCTTAAAACAAAAGAAAAACAAAAACTAAAAAAGCATAAAAAAAAAACTCAAAAAAAGAAACGAATTATATTGTAAAAACTAAAAAAGATTAAAACAAGTTAAAAGTTTAATTAACACAAAATATACAACCTGCACTGCAAGTGTCCAAAAATCAACCCAGATACAGAACATATGGCTAATTAATGCAAAAAATTCAAAGTGTCCTGCAAGTGTCCAGCAACTCTATTTCTAATTCTAAAATTGGAAAATAATTAACAATTTCTAATTCTAAAAAGTTATAAGTTTAATTCAATTTTTTCTCATCAATTTATGAAACCAAAATATACCTGTACTCGGGTGGGAGAAGCTGTGAATGTGAAGTGTGAGCTGTGAAGAAGCAGTGAAGGCCAATTTTAGAACAGGAGGCACACAAAAGGTGACCGGCATCGGTGAGAGCAGAGACAAGCGCCGGTGAGAGCAGAGACAAGTGCCGGTGAGAGCAGAACAGCAGAAAGCAGGGTCTATGAACTGCAGTGAAAGAAAGTATCAACAAAAAGCAGTTCCGAACTTCTGATGAGAGCAGATCAGCAGACGCAGAGAGCAGCTCCGGTGAGAGTAGATCAGCATAAAGCAGAGCCGCTCCGGTGAGAGCAAATCAGCAAAAGGCAGAGAGCAGAAAGTAGATCAGGAGAAGGCAGATAGCAGCTTCGGTTCGATGAGAACAGAGAGCAGAGAGCAGCTCCGGCGAGAGTGCATTAGCAGAAGGCAGAGAGCAGGTTCGGTGAGGGCTGCAGATCAACAGCTGCAGAAAGCAGAGAGCAACAAAGCAACAAAGCAACGCCGGCGATCGTACACAGCAAAGAGGGAGGGGAGCGCCGGCGGTGTAGGTGAGGGTAGAGAGGCAAAGAACTTCGGTTGGGACTTGGGAGGACCGGAGGAGGAGTCCAGCAACTCCAGCTCGAGGGTTTTCTAATTTGGTGCATTATGATTTTGTAATTTTGTTAAAATTAAGGGTTAAAATGGGTATAAGAAAGGAATGGTGAGGGTGAAATTGGAAAAAACAGAAAGAAGATTGCATGAGAAGTTGAACCGGTGGTTTTTTCAGTTCTACTGGTTCCACCGATTCCACTGGTTTTGACCGATTTTGACATCAAACAGTTTTTTTATGTAAGCCAAACCATTTTCATTATCGGGTATCGGTTCGACTGATTCAACCGATCGATCCGGTCTGGTTTTAAAAACCTTGTCGTCAAGTTCCAGGACAACACTCTTTGATATGCCTCATGATTAAGTTCATGGAAACTTGAGA